ATGTTCCACAGCATAAACAAATGTAACACATCTTAAAGTAATATTCTACTACACACCAATGATTTACTTTCCCAGAATTCCTTGCAGATACAACAGCCATTTTTATACTTTGGCCGTTAGATGTCTCTCTTGAAGAGGGAACTACAGCACCAATACACAAAAACCACAGAGGGTCTTTTTAACAGCAGTGACAGTTGCGGCAGTAGCTCCAGGGCCAGTGCTCAGTGATTATTTTTTAAATACATCTTGAAATCATTCTCAAGTCAAGCACTCAGCCAGGAAGCAAGCAAATAATTTACCGAACAATTATAAATAAGCAATAAGAGATTGTGGGGGGTGGGCTACAGTGTTTAAGAGCAATAGCTTAATTTAACTTCCTCTTCCAGAGGACCAGGGTTTGATTCCCAGCACCCACATCGTGGCTTACAACCATCTGTAACTCCAGTTCCAGGGATCCACACCCTCTTTTAGCCTCCATGGACACGGCATCCACACGGTACACAGTCATATATGCAGGCAAAACAAAACAGTCATATACAGAAAAAATAATAAATTAATTTAAAAAAACGTTTTAAAAGAGAGATTTAGGAAAAGGAGCTGTGTCTTTCTTCTAAGGCAGGGTCTCACTTTAGCCTTACCTGAAATGTAACTCACTGTGTAGCCCTGGCTAGCCTTAAACTCATGATGATCCTCATATTTTAGCCTCCCAATTGTTTACAGATTACAGACATGAGTCACCACATCTGGTGTTTTTTTTTTGGAGTGTGTGTGTGTGTGTGTGTGTGTGTGTGTGTGTGTGTGTGTGTGTAAGGGATTGAACCCAGAGGCCTGCACATGAACTATACCACTGAACAAAATCCCTAGACTAAGGCCTCTGTTTTCCTAGCTGTGCAAAATCATCCAGGCTAGGGCTGTAGCTCAGTGGTAGAGTGCTTACCTAGAAGACTTAAGGCCTTAGGGTAGAGCCCCACCATTTAAAACAAACAAAACAAAATGAACATAGCACATCCATCCAGTACTAAAGAGAATTGGTCTTGGCTTCTTAAATTTGAAATTAGACCAGGTACCAGAAGTGGAGGAAGATGAGGAGCAGTGCTCTCAAGGGAGTGGCTTCTGGTTCTAGAGATAAGAAGCCGACTCCAGCCCACTAAGCTACTAGCCAGTTGTAGTGCATGAGTAAATAAAAATAAAGAACGAAGCCCAATGTTTATCCTTGTTTTTCCTTAAGAAGTCCAGTGACTACACAGGGAAACACAGGTCTGCCTCCACGCTGACCTCTCACCCAATCACTCTTCACTAGAGCATCAGAGCCGTGGTTCTCAACCTGTGGGTCGTTACGTATCGGATATTTACATTACAATTCATAACAGTGGCAAAATTACAGTTATGAAGTAGCAACAGAAATAATTTTATGGCTTGGGGTCACCACCACATGAAGAACGGTGTTAAAGGGTTGCAGCGTGGGGAAGGTCGAGAACCACTGTGTCAGCAGCTCAAGAATAAAGCTGGGGCCAGGTGTGGTGGTCTTGCCTTGCTTGTAATCAAGTGCTTAGTAAGAGCAGGCAGGAGGATCACCAGTTCACGGCACCTGTGCTACACTGCAAAGCCCTGTCTTACGGAAAATAGATAGATAGATAGATAGATAGATAGATAGATAGATAGATAGATAGATAGATAGGGAGCTGGGAGTGTAGCTCAGTGGGCAGAACACTTGCCTAGCCATTTTGAGACGTTGTGCTGGCTCACCAGAACCACAGTAAGTAAATAAGAAGTAAAAACACATCTGGGGTCAGAGACAGAACAGCCACTAGATACAGAGGCCAGAAAATGGTGGCACTCACACCTTTAATCCTAGCATTCCAGAGGCAGAGATCCATCTGGATCTCTGTGAGTTCAAAGCCACGCTGGAAACAGCCAGGCATGGTGACACATGCCTTTAATCCCAGGAAGTGATGGCAGAAAGCAGAAAGGTATATAAGTCGTGAAGACCAGAAACTAGAAGCTTTTGGCCTGGTTAAGCTTTTAGGCTTTTGAGCAGCAGTTCTGCTGAGATCCATTCGGATGAGGACACAGAAGCTTCCAGTCTGAGGAAACAGGATCAGCTGAGGAACTGGCGAGGTAAGGTGGCTGTGGCTTGTTCTGCTTCTCTGATCTTCCAGAATTCACCCCAATTAAAAAAAAAAAAAAAAGAAGAAGAAGAAGAAGAAGTAAAAACAGGCTGGGCAGTGGTGGCGCATGCCTTTAATCCCAACACTCAGGAGGCAGAGACAGGCAGATCTGTGTGAGTTCGAGGCCAGCCTGGTCTACAGAGTGAGTTCCAGAGCAGGCTACACAGAGAAAACCTGTCTCGAAAAACCAAAAAAAAAAGAAGTAGTAAAAACAGGCACGGTGGCCCACGACTACAATCTCAGCACTGAGCAGGCACAGCTCAGTCTTTGAGGTCATCCTTGGCTACAAATCCAGTTCCAAGCCACCCTGGGCTACATGCCACGCAGTCTCAAAAAAATCCAAAGGGGGTGTGTGTTGGGGGCATGGGGGAGAGGCTTTATCATTTAAAGAATAAAAGAGTTCAGCAGTCTTACAAAAACCACATGATTTCAAAGCAAAAACTTTTACCTGTTGCTTGATGACATCTGTTTCGGTGTATCTCCATCTCTGTTTTGAGTATTCTCTACTGACACTCCCTGAGGAAAGCTGGGGCCTGAGCTCCCCTCTTCCCACCAGCCTCCATCACACACACACTCCTCTCCCACCCTTTCAACTGAGCTAGACCCATATTTTGGTCAGTCAGTATTCAGTGTGGTAACCAGGACAAGGCAAGTCCTGTTCACAATGCTGACTGCCTTTCCTTCCTTGCTTTTTCTTATGTTGTGTTTCCCTGCACTTAACAATTATTTGCTTGCCTCGTTTTCTTTATGTGCATAACATTTCAACAAAAAGCTCCTATTGACACTTAAAGGTGTACGATTTAAGTCTGGGCATGTGGTCATGCCTGTAGCCCAGCTTCTTAGGGGGCTGAATGGGGCTTATTGCTTCAGCCAAAGCCAGTTTGGACAGGCAGCATAGCAATAACCCATCTCAAAAAGAATAAAAAAGGTGTAAGATTTAGTCAAAATTTTGTTATTCAAATATTAATTCTAATAGTAAAAAAATGAGGCAAACTTAAAAAGCCAAGGAGTGGGCTGGAGAGATGGCTCAGAGGTTAAGAGCACTGACTGCTCTTCCAGAGGTCCTGAGCTCAATTCCCAGCAACCGCATGGTGGCTCACAACCATCTGTAATGAGATCTGGTGCCCTCTTCTGGCCTGTAGGCGTACATGCAGGCAGAACACTGTATACATAATAAGTAAATCTTTAAAAAAAAAAAAGCCAAGGAGTAAGGGTCATCGGCGAGACAGCTCCGCAGGTAAAGACCCTGGCAGCCAGCCCTGAAAATCCGAGCTGGATCGCTGCGATGGCAGAAGGAGAAAACGGACTCCTTCAAGTTCTTCTCTGACTTCACAAGCCAGCGCCATCGTCTTTTGAGGCAGAATGGGCTTGTGTTTACTGTGTAGCCCAGGGAAGGGGCAATCCTCCTGCCTCAGCTGGGATGACAAGTGTAGGTTAGGAACGGACAAAACATTTACCAACAAATAACTGGTTAAATCCATCACTCGTTTTTCATTAAACCACCTACAGACCTTAAAACTAATAAGGCTGGTTAACAAGTACTGCTACATCACCAACCACAGTGAACCTTTACTTTTCCGTCATCGCGTATAAACCTATACCTCTTTAATATCTCCCCATGAGCTTACAGGTTTGTGATCAGAAAATTATATATATATATATACATATATATGTATATGTATATATATATATTTCCATATATATGGAAAAATTAAAGAGCAAAGTAATCTGAATTAGAGTTTGTGTATATATTTCTATTCACACGACCAACAAGGTTTTCATATTTTAAAGTTCTTATTTAGCTGTTGGCGGAAAAGTCTGAATTCTTTTCCCCCCATCAGCTACACAAGTTTGCCTTATATGGCTACTAATCAGCTGTGTCTGAAAGAATCCACGTGTGAAAGTAGGAAAGCCAGATGTTCCATAAGTCTAAGGGAAAGTATTTTCAGAATACGAACGGGAAAGGGATGACTGTAAGGAAGCATTTGACTTATGAGAAAGTAAACACTAAACTGCAGACAGTAAAATGCTTCAGTTTCATGGAAGACAGCTGCAATGTGGAGCAGGGTGGGGGTGTGGGAGTGTGTGGGGTGGTGGTGTGTGTCGGGGTGTGGGTGTTAGCCTAACCCTGACAGGCGTGGCTTGGCCAAAGCAGGAGCCGAGAACTCAACCAATCAGCGCTTGCCCCCGTCCCTGCGTCCAGGCCACATAAAAACGCTGGTACTGTCTGGCCTTCCAGTGTGGAAACTCAGCGACATCCTGGAGTTTACAGAACTCAGGCTTCAAGCCCCTAAAGCGGCTTTCACTGCCACCTTTCCATTCTGAAGGGACCAGCACCAGAGATGCCGCGCCCTGTCATCTAGACTCTTGTCAGACAAACACACCGACTGCAAGGCTGACGTTCTGGGGACACCCGGAGAAGCTTGGGTAAAACACACCTATTATCTAGAAAGTTATACATGTGCAGGCCAAAGAGATTGTGCTTCCAACCCCTGTGCCTCCTTGAGATCCAAGCTGTGAGGCTAGGAATGTAGCTCAGTGGTAAAGTGCTCTCACGGAAGCGCACAGCCCTGGGTTTGATTCCTAGCACCCCACAAACGGGAGCATGGCGTTGCATAACTGAAATCCCAACACTTGGGAAGGTGGAGGCCGGAGGATCAGATGTTGAAGACCGTCTTTGGCTATAAAGTTTAAGACCAGCCTGGGATACATGAGACCTCCCCTCAAACAACTCCCCCCCCCCCCCAACACCACCCAAAAAACAAAGATCCAAGCTGGGATCCCTGGAACTCCTCCCTCCTGTCCCCCAGGGCCCCGGCGGGAACCACGCACCGACACCAGGGGGACGCGCAGGTGAACCCCCTGCAGCCTGTTGAAGGTGGGGAAGGTGCTCCAGGCGAGGAAGGCTCCGGGCTCGGGCCCCAGCAGGGCCACGAGCAGCACCTGGTGCTGGAAGCGCACGCTCGGCTGCTCCTCGTAGCTGCTCCGCTTCAGCCAAAACCCTGCGAGAGACAAGGCGGGTTGGGAAGCCAGGTCAAGAGAGCGGGCCTGGGCCAGAGGGCCGCGCCGAGCCATGTGGCTCTCCAAGCCCAGGCAGGCTCACCGTGGCTCCGGAAGGCCACCAGCAGGGGCGGGATGTAGGTGAGCGCCGTGGCCAGCAGTAGGAAGAGCGCGGCCTTGGAGCAGAGCCCCGCACGATAGCCGCGCTCGGCCGGGTGGGAGAAGAGCTGGTACAGCGCCATGAGCTCAGGGCCGTAGCGCCGAGTCTCCACGGCAACCGACGGCGGGCCGAGGAACCAATCGCAAGCTCGCAGGCCTTTAGTAGGGGTGGGGCTAGCGGGATGTGCTGGATTAGAAAGGAGATGCGTTTTATGCGTTGCCTTTGGTCCCTTCAAGAAAACAGCAAAACCACTGTTTCCACTCACTAAAGTCTGTGTCATCTTCTATCCAGATATGCATAGAAGTTGACTTGGTAAATATTTCCCCGTAGGTCATCTATTAACGCAGAATATGCGGGTGGTGGATGTAGCTTAGCTGGTAGGAGGTTAGCCTACCATGCAGGAAGCCCTGAGTTCATTCCTAGCACTTCATTAAACCAGGCACAGTGGCCCACATCTGTAATACCAGCAACCCCGTGAGGTGGAAGCTGGAGGATCAGAAGTTCGAGGTCATCTTTAGCTACATTGTGAGTTGGAGGCCAGCCTGGAATACACCAGACTTTGTCTTAATACAAAAACTCCAACGTGAGGCAGAGCCAGGCGGATCTCTGTGAGTTCGAGGCCAGCCTGGTCTACAGCGGGAGATCCAGGACAGGCACCAAAACTACACAGAGAAACTCTGTCTCGAAAAACCAAAAACCAAAACCAAAACAAAAACCAAAACCAAACCAAAACAAAACAAAACTCCAATGTGATTCATACCGAAGTCGAGCCATTTAACATAACAAGGCCACAATTCTGGAGTCAGGTACTTTTTTTTTTGCCTTCCAATTTGATTCTGTTTCCACCATACCACATAGCAGGAAAGCCAGAAAACAGGACACAAATCCCCTGGTTGTTCAAAGGTTAGAGGTAATTTATTACATGACTCCTTCTGATATATGTAGTTAGGTATAAGTGTTGGTATCATATTCCCCAAAGTTAGCATTTGCTGATAGATTATGTGAACACTTACTACTGCCAATATTTCAACATAGAAGAAAGTTAGCTTTTTTTTTTTTTTTTTGGCTTTTCAAGACAGGGTTTCTCTATGTAACTGCCCTGGGTGTCCTGGAACTCTCTCTGTAGGACAGGCTGGCTTCTAACTCTCAGAGATCTGCCTGTCTCTGTCTCCCAAGTGCTGGGATTAAAGGTGTGTGCCAAACCCCTACCCCCAGCCCCCAAAGCCAAGCAGAAGATTTTGTTTGTCTGTTTTGAAGTAGGGTCTTACTGTATAGCCCGGGCTGACCTTCAATTCTCCTTCTTCCAGGTTCTATGCGTGATCAATCAGTGCCCTTAACCACTGGGTCATCTCTCCAGCCCCCACCAATAATTTATCTTAATTCTGGAAAGACTGTCCTCTGACCTTCACGTGCAAGTTATGGTGCTTCATCTACAATCATACACAAATAAGTAAATCAGTGTAATAAAACATGTACGTCAGGAGCTGGAGAGAATGGCTACTTTTGCAGAGGATCTAGGTTTGATTCTCAGCACCCACGTGGTGGCTCACGGTCGTCTGTAACTCCAGTCACAGCGGTCCCACAACCTCTGTGGGCACTGCATACACGTGATGCACAGACATACACGCAGTCAAAACCCCCATACACATAAAATGAAAGGGACAAGCCGTGGTGGCACACACCTTTAAGACCAGCACTTGGGAGGCAGAGGCAGGTGGATCTCTCAGTTTGAGGGCAGCTTCATCTACACAGCAAGTTCCAGGACAGCCAGGGCTACACAGAGAAAACCTGTCTCAATAATAATAATAATAATAATAATAATAATAATAATAATAATAATAATAATAATAATAATAAATTAAAATAATAACAATAAAACGAAATTAAGGGAAAGTATAAATGTATTTTTTAATTAAATAAAAACTGCACTAAAACAACCATTTTGGAATGGCTGGATGTAATATAAATTCCTTGGGGTGGCTGTTCTGTGAGTAGAGAGTGTTTGCCTCCAAAGTGTCAGCAGCAGGGGATGCATACTGTAGCTAGGTCACTGATGAGACAGAGGGAGATGACTGGTAAGAATTTAGGAATACATAATGGTTCAGCCTTATGCAAGGTGTGGTGGTGTATACCTTTATTCCCAGCACTGGGGAGGCAGAAGTGAGGCAGAGAAAGGTGAATCTCTGTGAGTTCAAGGTCAGTCTGGTTTTCATTATGAGTTCTAGGACAGCCAGAGAGACCTTATCTTAAAAAGTAAAATAAAATAAATGGTTCCACCTCCCCTGAAAGGCCATATACTTGGTAAAAAAATAATTAGGAATAAATTATACTAGCTGTTCCTTTTTCCTGCCTTGATTTCAGGAAGCTAGACTCTGTGGTTTTATTTCAATTCTTTAAAAGAAAATATTAAAATGCTTTTTAAAAATGTATTTATTGTGTGTGTATAGGTGTACAAGTGTGCATGTGCCACAGTTGGGGTTTGGAGGTCAGACATCCTCTGGGCCATTTCTCCAGCCCCTGAATATTGCATCCCCATTCCACCCCCCAACAGGGATTTTAAATGTAGCCCTGGCTCTCCTGGAACTCATTATGTAGATAAGTGTTGTGGAACAATCTTTTTGTACACTGTGAAGATGTGTTGCTCTCCATTGATTTAATAAAGAGCTAAATGGCCAATAGCTAGTCAGGAAGAAGTTAGGTGGGGCTTCTGGACAGGGAGAGAGCTTGCTGGGATGAAAAAGGGCAGAGTTAACAGCTAGATGTAGAGGAAACAGGACATGTACAAGATGAGGTAACAAGTCATGAACCATGTGGCAGCAAGTAAATTAATAAAATGGGGCTGGAGAGATGGCTCAGAGGTTAAGAGCACTGACTGTTCTTCCAGAGGTCCTGAGTTCAATTCCCAGCAACCACATAGTGGTTCACAAACATCTGTAATGAGATCTGGTGCCATCTTCTGGCTTGCAGGAATACATGCAAGCAGAACACTGTAAACATAATAAATAAACAACATAATAAATAAATAAATATTTTGGGTTGGGGATTTAGCTCAGTGGTAGAGTGCTTGCCTAGCAAGCGCAAGGCCCTGGGTTCAGTCCTCAGCTCTGACAAAAAAATGGGTTAATTTAAGTTATAAGTGCTAGTTAGAAACAAGCCTAAGCTATCAGCCAAGCATTTATAATTAATAATAAGTCTCTGTGTGGTTATTTGGGAGCTAGCTGGCAGGACAGAAAATTATGCCCACAGACAAGGCTAGTCTTGAATTCACAGAGATCTACCCACCTCTGCCTCCTGAGTGCTGGGATTAAAGGCATGTATTAACAGGCCTGGATCAAATATTACATGTTACAGTGCTAAAGTTTTGCATATGTTATGGTATTTTCACATTTTTATGATCGAACACTGGCTTTTCAGTGCCCATTACCAGAATGTCCTCCTGTTACTGTAGTTTGCGTCAAAAGGCAAAGTCATTTCCTTCAAACTGCACATTTTAGATGGGAATAGTGGCGCATGCCTGGAATCCCAGTGCTTGGAAGGCTGAGACAGGAGGCTCAAGGGTTTAAGGCCAATCTTGGCTACATAGCAAGTTTCAAACCAGCCTGGACTACATGAGATTATCTCAAACAATCTCAACCTGGTTGGTTCAGTAGGAAAGAACACTCATAGCAAAAACATGAGGAGGACCCCAGTTCTAAATCCAGCACCTAGGTAAAAAGCCAGATCAGGATGTGTGTGCCTGTAATCTTAGTGTAGCTGGGGCTTGATGGCTGCTGGCCTAGCTCCAGATTCAATGAGAAAACCTGTCTCAAGGGAATAAGGTGAAGTATGATAGGGAAGTACCCCTGATGTTGTTACATCTAGTCCATTATGCACCACAAGGAAGGAGAGAGACAACACTTATGGGTTCCAAAGACTTTAATTAATAAGCAGAGTCAGTGATCCATTAGGGCTGCAGGACAAGGACTAGGGAGCCTCGCTCTTCCTGACGGCCCCAAGCAGGGGCAGAAGTGGGATTTATGAGCACAAAAGTCACCAACATTTGTTGCCAAGTTAAAGTTACAATTTTAACCAATCAGGAGTCAGGGATTAGGGGCTTTCTTTGTATGTTACATCCACAGATACCGAATGTAAGCTTTGCAGTCCAACCAATTGGATTCATTTCTTCTTTCTGTGGTTAGGACTAGCCATAATGTTTTAGAGAACTAAGGGGCATAGTAGACTATTTCTATTGTTTAAAGAGAAGGTTAGTCATCTATTGGAAAGTTCCCAACTCCCCTAGTGCTTGGAAACTTGAACTTTTTTTCACCCTACAGGTAAAATGGAGTCTGAAGTTAATATGGCAGTACTTAGGACAAGGTGCTTTTACCCGCTACCTTCAGTATCACATGGGCATGCATGGATCATCCCATGGGCATCCACATACATGTGTACAGATACCACACACGTAGGAATTCAAGGCCAGTCTTGGCTACATTGTGAGTTCAAGGTTGTCCTGGCTACATGAGACATCCTGCCTGTCTTATAGGTCTGCTGATGTGTGATTGCGTGTGTTGATAATCCTACCACACCTCCTGACTCACCTCCTCAGTTCTCCACCCCCTCTAGAAGACATCTAGTGCCCTTAGAGTATTCAAAAAAGCATGGATGCATATCACAGCAGATTAGAGAAGCCAATTAGAGGATGATCTAAAAAAAAAAAAAAAGATATCAAGTGAGCAAATAAGACAAAAAGACATTGCTTGTCATAGTAACCACCAGGGGATTTTCCTCCCTGAGAAGCCTATGAGTTGATGAACAGTGGATTTTCCTCTCTGAGAGTGAACATAGCTCTTACACACTTGTAAGTGATATACACATGTCTTGGACTAGGACACAGTGACCAGATTTATAAAGAGAAGCTGGAGGTATTTTTTAAAAGATTTATTTATTTATTTTTTATTTATTTTTTTATTTTTTTATTTTTTTGGTTTTTCGAGACAGGGTTTCTCTGAGTAGCTTTGCGCCTTTCCTGGGACTCACTTGGTAGCCTCGAACTCACAGAGATCCGCCTGGCTCTGCCTCCCGAGTGCTGGGATTAAAGGCATGCGCCACCACCGCCCGGCTGATTTATTTATTTTT